CCCCCTCCCCTTGACCACGCCCCTCTCACCATCACTACACACCCCTCACTCTCTGACCACACCTCCTTACACATGACTACACACCTCTCGCTCTCTGACCACACCCCCTTACACATGACTACACACTCCTCACTCTCTGACCACACCTCCTTACACATGACTACACACCTCTCACTCTTTGACCACACCTCCTTACAGATTACGACACACTCCTCACTCTCTGACCACACCTCCTTACACATGACTACACACCTCTCACTCTCTGACCACACCTCCTTACACATGACGACACACCCCTCACTTTCTGACCACACCTCCTTACACATGACGGCACACCCCTCACTCTCTGACCACACCACCTTACACATGACTACACACCTCTCACTCTCTGACCACACCTCCTTACACATGACGACACACCCCTCACTTTCTGACCACACCTCCTTACACATGACGACACACCCCTCACTTTCTGACCACACCTCCTTACACATGACGACACACCCCTCACTTTCTGACCACACCTCCTTACACATGACGACACACCCCTCACTTTCTGACCACACCTCCTTACACATGACGGCACACCCCTCACTCTCTGACCACACCACCTTACACATGACTACACACCTCTCACTCTCTGACCACACCTCCTTACACATGACCACACCCCTCACTCTCTGACCACACCTCCTTACACATGACTACACACCTCTTTACTAGGGATGCTCCAATCAGGATTTTTGCAGCTGATACTGAGTACCGATTTCTTGTCATGGTGATCGACCGATACCGATGCTGATGCTTCAAGCTTTATATAGATGTTTCATAGGGCGCACGCACCTGGCCCGAACTTCCGGTCTGCGTTTCAGGTGGTTGTGCTGTGGGATGTGTTTCCCATACATTTATTTATTTGTGGCGCTCGCCACAATATCAAAACTGACAGATTTTCCAAAAGGCTTCATTGAATAAACATGAGCACATACTGCATGTTTAAATATCAAAACGAGGAGCGGGTGTTTTCATATCACTGTCTTTCTGAAGGAAGTCTAGCTTTAGAAAATGTTCAATGTCATTCTCATTTCATCTTACATGTTATATGCCTGATAAAGCAGCATTTGTGAGCTCAGCGCTGCATCGTGTACAGCTTATTTTTATGTCTGTGATTTAGCCCGTACTTTGATTTGAATCGGTCACTCCTCACGCAGTGCTCTGATTGGCCGTCCACAGATGCAGACGCAGACGTTCCCCATGCAGACGCTGGCGGTGCAGACGCCGTCGCAGCCACAGACAGTGATGATCGCACCGACCGGCACGCAGACACACCGATTCATCCACAACCAGGTGATCTGCCAGCAGAACCCCGGCGCCGGCTTCCAGGGTGAGACTCACACACGCACACACTCGCACACACTCTTACACACACTCACACTATACACACACACTCTCTCTCACGCAGCTGTGTCTTTCTCAGTCCTCCAGCCGCAGATGCAGAGCATCATGACGTCTCCGCAGGTCCAGCCCATGACCATCCAGCACCAGCGGCTGCTGACTCCATCCGGTCAGACCTTCCAGACGCTGTCCACCGCGCCGGTCCACACCGTATCGCAGCAGGTGCCTGTACGTCACACACACGCTCACTGCAGACTGTCGTTAGTGTGCTGTATGATGTCATGTGTGACGCTGCGCTCTGATTGGCCGACAGGTGCTGCTGCACCAGCCACAGATCCTGAAGACGGACTCTCTGGTTCTGACCACGCTCAAACCGGATGGGACGCAGGTGCTGTCGACCGTCCATAACCCGCCGGGCATCACCACGCTCACGGCACCCATCCAGACCACCTCGCTGCAGGTCCCTGTACGTCTCTCACACACACACACACACTACAGTCACGATACACTGGCAGAAATATCATACTGAAGATTCATTAACGCAAAAATATTGTCAAATAATGGTACATCGTTTTATTCATTGAAGATTATTTTAATGTCTACTCAAAACAGCCTTTGCAGCTTATATGTTGTTAAAAAAATTATTTAAATATAATATTTTACTGTTAAATTTGATTAAATGTTTCGATTTTCTATTAAATATTAATCTGAAAGAGCTTATGTTATTGCTATGTATTCATAACAATGTATTGATAAATTATTACAGGCAAGTATCTTTATTTATTAAAGTTTTATGGCTATTATGATTATTTTAATATCTACTCTGAGTTTGCCATAAAAACAGCCTTTGCTGATGATATGGCGTTAAATAGTTCATTAATATTTTTAAATTTTATTTAAATGATATTTATTTAATATATTACAAATCAGTGAAAATAAATCTAAATATATTTATATATAATTATAAATTACTATTTAGAAAATAGTAGCTTAAAATATATTTTTAAAACAATATCTTTTTATTTTATTTTATGAGCATTTAATGGAAAATCAGACATACTCATGCAGAGAATATTTTTGCATTTTCATTTAAAAAGTTAATTTTTTTGAAGTGTCGTGATTGTTTCGATTGTACTGTGATATGTTCACATATATCTAATTGGCTTTCCTGTCAGAATATCGTTCTGTTTATGGTTCTGAATGTGGTCTCTCCCTTTCACAGACGCTGATGAGCAGCAACATTCTGACCACCGTTCCCATGGTGATGGGAGGCGGAGACAAGCTGCCAATCAAGCAGCTCTCCTCGGGCACCGCCCACACGGGGGGCGGAGCCAGGTTGGCAGTGGAGCAGGGCGTGGCCGTTACCGCGGGAACGGGAGGAGTCGTGAAAGAGGGCGAGAGACGGACGACACACAACATCATCGAGAAACGCTACCGATCCTCCATCAACGACAAAATCCTGGAGATGCGCGACCTCGTGATGGGTAATGACGCCAAGGTGTGTGCGCCGCACTGCATGCTGGGATGTGTGGAGCTCAGGTGACTGTCTGACGTCTGTTTGTTGTGATTGACAGATGCACAAGTCTGGCGTTCTGCGTAAAGCCATCGACTACATCAAATACCTGCAGCAGGTGAACCACAAGCTCCGGCAGGAGAACCTGATGCTCAAGATGGCCAGTCACAAGCACAGTGAGTCACTCACAATTCTCTAATTCAGTGTTTAACAGGATTTTTAAGAATCGTGTAATTTATTACCATTTTAACAATAATTAGGCCCTACGAAATCTTATTTTTTTGAAATTGTTATTTTTTTTTCATTTCCAATTCCATTTTAAAGGTAAATTCATTAGATTTTAATAATCAAAAGGATTATCTGGATTGTGTGTCTATGATTTAATACAAATTTATTATTAAAAATGATGGTTATCAAATGCATAAAACTGAACAATTTAATTAATCTTTTAAAATGTAATCAAATCAAATGCTGGTCAACAGAGGTGTATTAATTAAATTAAAATTAGTACATGAATAAAAATGTTGTAATATTCCATAAATAAAATATCCAAAATTATTGATTCATATGCACTATTAAAATTCATTTTTACTAATATTCACATTGCAATTTGACTTTGATTAATTGTGCATCCCTACTTTTTCTTTATTAATTTATTAATATTTAATAAATAATGTATAAAATTAATGCATTTACGTTCTCATTTATACATTTGGCAAGTGACTTGCTTGACATTTTGTTAGTTAAATTAAATTATTAATAATAATTTATTAACTTACTAATGTACATTTTTGATTTATGAATCCAAAATGTGCATTATTTGTATGTGCACTTTGTACACTACACTTGATTTTGATGGCTGGATTTGACGGTTGCGCCCTGTGTTTGTTTGTCTCTCGTAGAGTCGGTGTGTCTCTCTGATGATGTGGATCTGAAGCCGGAGGTGGCCTTTATTTCTCCTCCTCCGTCTGATTCGGGCTCCAGCTCTCCTCCTCAGCTCTCGCCCTTCTGCATCGACTCGGAGCCTGGCAGCCCGCTGCTGGAGCACGAGACGGTGAGAGACACAGGCCCCGCCCCCTCATTTCATATTCATATCAGAGCAGGGCGGTCAGTCTGATGTGTGTGTGTTTCAGGTGAAGAGCGAGCCGGACTCGCCATCGTCGGTGGGAGTGATGGACCGCTCGCGTCTGCTGCTCTGCACGCTCACCTTCCTCTGTCTGTCGCTCAACCCTCTGCCGTCTCTGCTGGAGTCAGAGGAGAGTGCCGGGCTGACGGCAGCACACGGATCCTCGCGCTCGCTCTTCTCGCTGCCCACGCAGAGCTTCGGTGAGTCACATGACCCGCTCACGGATCACATGATCGCGCAATCTGCTGTGACGCTAACATCACGTGTGTGTCTGTCCATCTGTCAGGGGCGTGGCTGTGGTGCGTGTTGCCGTGGTTCCTGGTGTGGGTCCTGAGTGGGGTGGGCGTGGTCTGGGGGTGTGTCCGTGTGCTGTACCTGTGGGAGCCGGTCACGCCCCTTCACTCGCCCACCTCAGTGCGCTTCTGGAGACACCGCAAACAGGCTGACCTGCAGCTGTACCGGGTAAACACACACACACACACACACTCACAGGCGTAATGGTTTTTATACTGTACAGACCGTATATTCTATTGCCCTACACCAACCCTACCCCTAAACCTACCCCTCACAGGAGACTTTCTGCTATTTCAGATTTTCAAAAAAACTCATTCTGAATTATTTATAAGCCTTTTGAATTACGGGGACACTGAAAATGTCCTCATAAATCACCTTCTTGTTGTAATACCTATGTCATACCCATGTTATTATACAAATTTGTGTCCTCATAAACCACATAAACATGCACACACACACACACACACACACACACACACTCACTCACAATCACACACACACTCACTCACAATCACACGCTCTCTCACACACTCACTCACTCACTCACACACTCTCACATACACACACACTCACAATCACACACACACTCACTCACTCGCTCACACACTCTCACACACACACACACACACTCACTCACTCACTCACTCACACTCTCAAACACACACACAATCACACACTCACACGCACACACACACATATATACGCATATAAACACACACCCCCACATTGTACATTCAGTGATCATGTGTTGTGTGTGTGTCTCAGGGCGATTACTCTGAGGCCGCGGTCAGTCTGCACACCTGTCTGTCCATCTTGTCCAGAGTGCTGCCCTCCTCCACCCTCGACATAGTCTGCTCACTCTCCTGGAACCTGATTCGCTACTGCCTGCGGAAACCCACCCCCCTGGGCTGGTTGGTGCGTCTGGTTGGAGGGAGACACGAGGGGGAGGAGTCACAGACCAGCTCACGCGACGCAGCACTGGTGTATCACCAACTCAGCCAGCTGCAGCTCACAGGTGAGTGTGTGCGCGTGCGTGCGTGCGAGTATGAGTGTGTGTGCGTGCGTTTGTGTGCTATAGTGAGTGTGTGCTATAGTGAGTGTGTGTGCTATAGTGAGTGTATAGTGAGTGAGTGTGCTATAGTGAGTGAGTGTGCTATAGTGAGTGTGTGTGCTATAGTGAGTGTGCTATAGTGAGTGAGGGTGCTATAGTGAGTG